GAGGGCCCCGCTGGGCAGAGACGCGCACCAGCACGGGCAGTACCCTAAAAGCCTTGGCAATCCACGTGTTGGGCTTTCTGCTTGCAAAGGAAAGATTCGTATTTCACAGTTCTATTAAAGAGAAGATTATTATGGTAGTGAAGTTGTTAATTCAGTTCTGCCCAGCTTTAAAAACAAAGGTGTAGTGGTGAGGAACAGACTACCTCTGTGCAATGAAATCTTGGTGAATTACTCTAGCCTGGGCCCTAGGGTGGTGGTAAACGGTAAAAGTATTGCGCTTTACACTTTTGCTATATGAAGTGTGGTGAAGCTGTGTGTTTTCTGCCAAGTATCTTTTCTTCCCACTTGGTAGTGTTTTGTGTGCTTATATAACTTGACTGAAATATTAAAAGTTAGGAGGCGGCAATGCAGTCTGGTTTCTTAATCTTTCAGGGGGATTGAAGATATGCAGCGGAGATGACTCTTCAGGAAATGGTGAATCAGGCAGCTGGCCTGTACTCTGACAGAAAAGCAGTTTGGTTTAATGAATGCGATGACAAACCTCCAACTTTCTACACGTATGCGACGGTGGTTAAGCTTGCCATGGAATTAACAGCTTTCCTTCAAAAGCACTGTGGTCAGGAAGGAAAATGTGAAATAGGCCTTTACTGCTATCCAGGAATAAACTTACCGTCTTGGATCTTAGGGTAATGCTTTGAATGATTGCATTCCGTGTTGGTTTTTTAAAAGTCATCTCTATTAAAGCAAATTTTCAGTTTGTTTATATTCTCAATAACAACAAGAATGCAGTAATACCATAGTAATGCAGTCAAGAGGCACTGGAGTTTTGCATTCTTTAAGAAAAAAAGATGGCAGTATTACAATCTTTTGAAAATCTAGTGCTAAAGTTTTTCTGAAACTTCAGTTCATTGAGCTGAAGTGTGTGTAACTACATCCATTTTTTAAAAAGCATACGATTAAGCATATTTATAGAAAAATAGAAAATGAATGACTAGTATCTTTGTTGTACGTGTTTAAAAGTGGAGGCGATCTAACAGAATAAAAGGAGTACGCAGGTTTTTTAATGTATTCTTGTCTTGCTAGCAAAAAAAGATGCATTGAAAACAAATTTCGTGCTTTAAGCTAATTGAGTATACAGTTACAGTTCCATTACATGTATTGTAGAAAAAAGTAATGAGCAATGCAGCACTAAAGTGGCATTGATTATTTAATGGCTAGGAAATTGAAATGTTTGTGATCTCAACACTCATGTTAATTCAGCAATTGAAAAAGTCCTACTTCTGCTGATGAATTCCAATGTTTGTATCCTTTATATATGTATCTCTTACATCCATTGCATTTATGATGTAATACAGAATCCCAGCACTGCAAGCCTATTTTCTTCAGCTGATGTATCCAGTAGTGGTTGTGCTTCTTAGGGGGATGATCTGCGTCAGTATTTTCCTATTGTCACAGCGTACCTAAAATACATAATAGTGCAAGAAAATGTGTCGCAGTTGACTATAAAGATTTCGGTGAAGTGTGTGAGTGAGTGCTGTAATCATAAACCTTCCAGAAGTGCTGAGGAACTTTCTCACTGATCAGAAAACACTTTTCCCCCAGTCCAGCAGTGGAGCAGGTTGCCCAGCAACCCAGCAGGTTGTGCAGGCACCGTCCCTTGGAGGTTGTCAGGACCTGACTGGATAAAGTCCTGAACAACCTGGTCTGGTGTCACAGCTGGCCCTGCTTGAGCAGGAGGTTGGATGAGGCATCCTGAGGTCCCTTCCAACCTGATTTATCCTATGTCCCAATGAACTGGGCAGCAACGGAGTTTTCTTTTGCTGTGTGACTGGGAATTACCAGGACGTTTTGATTCTTACAGCTATCATTAACTGCTATGTATGATGCAGGGCAGGCTGCTTACTGATATCAGTGGCTATGCTGTGGTTTCCAAGTCTTCGTTCTGGATCTCGTCATTACTGCAGTGATAAATCACTTGCACAAAGAGGAAATATACCTAATCGTACATGGGAACCCAGCCTTAGAAGAAATGTGAAGGTTTATGGGAACCGTTCATATTTTAGTTGCCACTTACTCATCTTGGCTTTTTGTAGTGTCAGTAAATTCAAGTGCTTGTCTTTATCAAATGGAGCCACTAGAGGGGGGGATTGGAGTGAACAACTGTTGAGGAAGCACTACAATGTAAAGCGCAGTGAATGAGAGCAGAACGATACTTCGTGTTCCTCTGTTTGTTTATTAGGGAAAAAACTCCAGTACGTGCTCAGATTCTCTTATGCTGGATTCTTTAGACTAGTGAGAACAGCAGGTGTTTTCAGTGTGCAGACTTTTGGTGGCTTTTTTTAAATATGTTTACATATGTTGTACATGTATAAATGAAAAGCTTATATTTCTGTTCCTAGTCAATAGCAGAAGCTTTAAAAATGTGGTGCTGTTGATGTCAGTGATACCTTTGTCATCACCAACCTGCTTGGGTGGAAATAATGTTGAATGTTTCCATCTAGCTTTAATCTTTTTCCTTGCTGTAAAATACCAAAAGGCAACACTGGTTATAATTTTCTTCCTACTTTATTTCCAACAAAATCTTTAAAAGTCATGTTGTGACTACATTTTCTGGCTCTGGGAACTATAAAAGTGTAAAAGAAATGTTAGTGAAATTTAAGAGGATTTTCTTAGGTGTTTTTTCTTAATAACTTTAAAACATTTTTGTCTTGTTAGAATCCTTCAAGTTCCAGCTGCCTATTCTCCTATTGATCCAGATGCACCACCAACGGTATCCACTTACTTCATGAAGAAAAGCAATCTTCAATATATTCTTGTTGAGAATGACAAAATAAATGTAAGTGTTCAGGCTTCTACAGGAATCACTAAAGGGCAATTTAGAAATGTGTAGCTATTCAGATTGTATTCTGTTTTAATAACCTTGGATGGGGCTGTGTTGTTTCTTCGTGTCAAGAGGTTGTCTTTCTCATTCAGAAAAGAACATCTTTAAAATTAGAAGTAAAAAGTGCTTTTCCTCCTCTTCAAAAAAATTGCTTACTTTCCTATTGCAGTGTTGTCCAGGCAGGCTTGTTGGGCACTTGCGTTGGAAGGCTCTTCCAGGCTTGTTTCTCCATATGTCAAGTTTGAGAGTTGGAAATCTTTGCAATAGTTGAAAATAACTCTTGCATTTAATTCTTTGGCTTCCTTTTGTCCAACTCCTCCCAAATCTTACACCCTCACTCATTGCAAAGGGAATAGACAAGATTGGACTATCTAGTTATAATTCAGAGTTCTGTGTCTTCGGCAGAATTCTTTTGTATATGTTCCCCTTCTTTCATTATTTGCTCAAAGAATTGTTTATTTCTTATTTATAAGGTCTGTGTTCACTCATCTTTAATATACAAAAATACGTGAGCTTAAAACTGTCTGTGTGTCCTCCAAAAGCAGAGGGATGAAAAATCACAGCTTATTTGTATGAAACACTGTTTCATATTGCATTGCATACAGTAGAACAATAACAGTGCATCCTGAGTTCTGCTGTTAAAATTGTTTATTTTCTTTTACAGAAATTCCGGATGTCCCATGTTGGTTGGTTTGAGTGCAATTCTTCCACAATAGAACCTATTGGTTTAACTCTCTTCCAAATAAGCTCAAGCAACACTGATTTAAATTCACAAGTAGATGATGTGAAAAGTAAATATGAACCTGTCAGAGCTATGGGTAACTCACAGCCAGGATATACCATTTGCCCAGACCAAACTGAAGTAAAAACATCAGAAGGAGAACACACGGACGTTGGCCAGAAATACTCTTTAGCATATGTCTTGCATACATCAGGAACTACAGGGATCCCCAAAATAGTCAGAGTGCCTCATAAATGTATAGTGCCAAATATTCAGCATCTTAAGTAAGTGTGGTTTCCAGTTTTCCTTCTAAATCTTTTACAAATTTGACATTTAGGGACTCTTTTTAATACTCCAAAAGAGTGTAGATAGGATTTTTGCTAATACTGCTTCACT